CTTGCTTTCCAGTTAACTTTGATCTTCAAAAATTGAAATGCAATGTCAGTTATTTTCTATTTTCTTAATTCTTGTTCTTTTATTGTATTCTCTCCTTAATCTTTATCACTCTGCTTCTCTGTGCCTTTTCTATAAATACTTTCATGGTAATTATTTGGACAAACTCTTCACTATGCTACCTGACTTTTTGAATTTAAGCACAGTGCTAGATTGGCCCAGACCTTCATTTCACATTTCAGCATCATCTGTAACACCTGCAGAAGAGAGTGCCATGCAAGGATTGGTCTGTTCAGTCACTCCAAATGCTGCTTGCAAAGAGGACAATAGTTGACCAAAGATAATCGAGATAAATGGATGCCTGCCTGACTGCCTGCCTGCCTGCCTACTAAATTAGTGGCAAGGTCTCGTCATTTTGCAGTTGAAATTGCTAGATATAGCCATAAGTTCTATGCTAACAGTTTCTTCTCTCACATGCCTTGCTTGGGTAACTCTCTTCCAGCTTCTTGCTTTCCAGTCAAATTTGATTTTTAAAAATTTAAATACAATATCAATTGTTATCTTCTTCATTCCTGTTCACTTATTTTTCTCTCACCTTAATAATATTTTTCTTTATCCTTACAGTCTCTCACACTCGGCAACCCCTTGCATCTTAGTGGCTTTTATTGCTTGGCTTTGCATAAAATGATTAAAATAAAATAAAACAGAGTTTCAGAGATTCTGATTTTTTTTCCCATTTAGAGAAATTAATGAGGGGGTAATCTGGGGTGGGGGGCATGAAATGTCAGGAGAGTACAGTGGGTGTAGTAGGCAGTACAGTGGGTGTAATTGGTACATCTTAGCTGTACCAATATCTGCTGGTTCGGCAAAGAGATGTAAGGTCTGTTATCCCGATGGAAGCTGACACCCATTTGATTGGCTAATTCCAGATGTTTTTATCAATTGCTGCCCTTAATTTGTTCCAGTGGTAACAGTATTTGTCTGGATTAAGCAAATGATTTTGTGGAACAAGTTTATGAAATGTAATTCTCTCCCAATCCAATCAAATGCACAGCATCTCAGTCTTTAAATTCAGACAAGTTTTTAGAGACATTTACAGTGGCTCATTTTATTCTCCCGAGAAATTTTTTTTTTCACATTGTTGTAAACACTCCATTTATCATTGCCCGTGATCATTCTTTTAAAAAATGGGTTATTTTTGTTGTATTTGAGCAAGGAATCACAGATATTCAGTTTATGATAGTTTTCCAGTTAAATTGTGAGGAACCCAAATGTCAAAGTGATTCATGTATGAAACTGATTTTAAATGCATTAAAAAATTCAAGTGCAATATGTAGAGTACCTTTACAACGTCACATGTTATGCAAGTTGAATTAGTTTTAAACAACATTTCAATTTGTTTATCATGAACAACTGCAAGTCTGCTGGGATATTCTTGATCTTCAAGATCAAAATTTCCATACAAAAAATACTCTCAGTTATGGCACCATCTCCATAAATGGCACATATTTATTTTTGCTGTTTGTACAGTGTTTTTTTCATATTGATATAAAAGAGCATCAAATGATGAAAATGCATTTCATTTTCACTTTTAACTAAAAACATTTAAAATTCACAATCTATGCACAAATCATATAGAAAGATGCATTGAAATGTCACCATCCAGAATATGTTTATCTCTAGAATTGCAGCCAAGTGTGAATAAAAAACATGTTCAAATGCAAGCACTTGAAAAACATGAACTTTTCTTTCAACACAAAACTTATGAAGTTATCAAGATCTCCCAACAGTCAAGACCCAAATATATTCACCAATTAATACAGATCTTCCCTTAAACAAAATGCAAATATATTCACCAAATAATACAGATCTTCTAACAAAGAAGATCCAAATATATTCACCAAGTAATCCAGATACTCTCCTAACAAGACCTAAACGTCCTGGGTATGACAATAAACTACATCCAACAGCAAGGCCTATAATCAGGTTTTGAGCAGCATGGAACTACCTCTTAATTGCTGATGTTCCCAGGTCCACCCTGACCCAGAGTGGTAGCACCTGTTACGGTCCCAGCTATGGGTGAATAGTTAGCTCCTAAACTGGGGTCAAAACACTATGAAAGTGTAAAAATAGGTTTTAATACCAGAAATACTTTGTAAAAAATTATTACCAGCAATACATTTTTGAAGAAAAATTAATGCCAGCTATACATGTTTGAAAAAAAATATATTGCCAGCAATAAAAATCTTATTGGCATTAAATAACCCATTGAGGTTGACACACCCTAAAACAAAACAAAAACAAAGACCCAAATAATTTCACCAATTAATCCAGATATTCTTCTAACAAAGAACACCCAAATATATTCCCCTACTAATCCAGATCTTCTGCAACAAACAAGACCCAAATAAATTGACCAAGTAATCCAGATCTTCTCCCAACAAACAAGACCAAAATATAATCTAGGTCTTTTCAAAAAAATAAAGATCCTAAATATTAACTAAATAAGCCATATCTTCTTCCAAAAACAACACCCAAATATATTTATAAACTAGGCATATCTTATGAAATTCTCAGCTTAAATTTTAAATGAGATTTTGCAGGGATTTCTTTTTTCTTTAGCCAGCTTTGTAAAAGTTTCTCTAACTTTGGAATGGGGAAACAGATTTTTACAAAAGAAAAATGCAATCAAGTAGTAAATGAAGCCAGAGAAATTGCAGAAACCTCACCAAGCAAACTTATCAGTAACTAAAGAAGCAGGCTTACCAAAATAGTGTTGGCAGCAGCAGCAATCCCAATTAGTAATGATACTGACAGGTAGAAAAAGGATGGAAAAAAAGAATTTAATATTCTGTACTTGCAACAAACATTCTTAACCTATGTCAACACTCTTGAGGTATGTTGTAGAGGTGTCCTTATTCAAAACATTCAGCTAGCTTAATTGAAAAAGTTTAGGAACAACATACATATGCTATGATGGATAGAAATGTAGGTACATACATTATAAGTAAATAATGTTTTGTTTTTTTTAAATAATTTTATCCCAAGTAAGGGATTAAAGCCACTAAGATGCAATTGATAAAAAGAAAAACATTGAATAGAGAGAATTAAGAAGACAAAAGATAATGATTCACATTGCATTTAAATTTTAGAAGATCAAAGTTGACTGGAAAACAAGAATCCAGAAGACAGTCCTACAAGTGAGAAGTAAGAATTTACTAGCATAGGACTTATGATCGCATTTTGCCATTTCAGCTGTAAAATGATAAGACCATGAAGCCAATCTAGTACTGCACTTAAAATCATAAAGCTGAGCTACCAAAGATGAAAGTTCATCAGAACAATTACCATGAAAATATTTATAGAAAGGCACCGAGAAGATGTTAATGCAGTGGGAAAGTGATTGAGCTGAGATGCCAGATCAGCACCAATATCATTGCAGATTATTCTTTGGATGCGAAAAGTTTGGAAATGCAACCAAAAATAATGTAAGTAATGTTTTTGTTCAATTTAAGTATATTGTTTTTTTTCTTCTATATGCCATGTCTCTTGAGGACAATCATGGCTCTTCACAATTTCCTGTCTTTTGTAGTTCTTAATAAATTTTATCTATCCAATTGACATTTGGTGAGTTTGGCAGTCATTCCAAGAGTCCAATCTCATGATCCTAAAACCATTGTTTCCACATATATAGGTTTAAGGCCACATCATGTTGAAAACCAATTTCTTGTATGATCACCTAAGTTAAGAAACATCAAGCTTGGTAGGTAGCTAGATGAGTGACCACTTGGGAATATCAGGTGCTATAAGCTTGGATGTGCAGTTGGTGTACTGAATAACAGAGAATCAAGTTCTAATTCCAGTCGAGGTTGTAATATTCACTTGCTATGCATTAATTAGTAGGAATTGTACCAGTTAATTATTATTGTCTACAAAAATTTCTTACAATTTGAAAATATTTTCTGGCTTTAAATAACCTTCAAAAGGTTGATAGGCCATAAAAAAAAAAAAAAAAATCAATGTACAAGTATAGTGGAGTGACACAGCAGACCATCCTGCATAAAGATTGTGCAGTTTCTGAAGATTGGTATCATAAAAGTAAGAACCAGCACCGTTTTTATTCAGGATGGTATGCTGTGCCATACCACTATAGAAATGGAAACTCTGGTTTCATGTGTATGTTATTGTGTTATTGGAATGGCACACAATTTACAGGGTCAATAGAGAATCTGTGAAATGAATATTACCACCACCACCATGTGACATGACATCGCCAAAATAAAAGCAAAGAAAAAGAAAGTGACTTTGTTCTAGGAAGGCAATATTTTTGTTAATATAAAACTATCAGACATATATTACGAGTGCATACAAACATTCAGATGGCTGATAAAATTAAATGTGAACACATATACAAGTGGGAAGGGTACCCAGCAAAAAAAAACAAAAAAACCCTGGATTTTGTATATGGAACACAAGCTGGATGTAGTTGTACATTGTGCCATCTGAATCAGGCCATGTATATTATACTCCACAAAGTACCCTTAGGTGTTATATTTTTTTTTTTTAATATTCACCCAGTACAAGACCCAAGAGCCATTCAAGGCAGAGAGTTACAGAGTAAAGGCACAGTTTATTTAGATATTTTGAGGAAGATAACAGTCAACCCTAAATGTGAACAGGCTATGATTGTAATCAGGGAAGAATTCTCTTGAGAATCGGTTCAGAAAAATAGGCATCTAGTAAGAATGATTGATCATTTGTTTTTTATAGTTTATCAACCCTTTGCAAGTTGTTTAAAGCCAGAAAATATTTTTAGATTATAGGAATTTTCTTTGGGAGTTAGAAATGGCTTAGTGATACACGTTTTACTAATTAACTCATAGCTGGGCAGGAAGAAACGGTGGATTCATACCTTTCTCAAGTGTATTTTTGTGTAATTGGAACTCGGCTCTCCAATTAATAAATCTGGAGCCATTATCTATTACACCACCCACACATCCAAGCTTACATCACCTGGTATTCCCAAGCAGTTACCCATCTGGGTACTGACCAGGCTTGGTATTGCTTAACTTCAGTGATCATACAGGAACTGCTGTTTCAACATGACATGGCCATAAGGCCCAGTAAGAATAAAATACACTACAACAGTAATGATTTCAGACCAACTTCCTAATCACTATTCAAGAAATATCTAACCTCGGGTCTGTAATAATCGCAATTCATCTTCCATTTGCTAATTTCTTAAATAAATTCCACTTCTACCTCCACTTATTTATTTTTATCAAACGTTCCGAGGGATGTGGGCAAGAAGACAAAAAAGAAATAGAGAGATATTCTAATTGTATGATCATTTAGAATTGTGAAAACTGACTGAGTCCAGATTTGAAGAGTTAGATGTTAGAAAAAATTCTACCCCCACTGGCTTATTCTGACCATTTTATTCAGGACTCAAGAGCAGTAATGATGAAACACTCTACAGCATCACTACTCAAAGTGTGGTACATGTGCCAGTATGCAAGCCATGGTCTGCCAGTACATAGGTAGTTTCCAGAAAACAAAGAAAGATTAGTCACATTCCATGCCATAGACAAATGCTGGGATATCTGTTTAGGATTTTTTAACATTTTTGTTTTAGTTTTATATTTATTACGTATACACTTTTCCAGTTACTCACTCGTATTAAAAGTCATTGTTATACAACTACAAATGCGACAGAATGAACAGCAAAAAGTGAAATGAAATACCTATGGCAACCAACATGATGATGTGGCATGTGACTGTGTTGGGACCACACCTAGGAATACCATAAAGCTATTTTCATGGACATATATTTCTAATTTGGCCTTTAAAAAATTTGCCTGATAGTTGAAAAAACGAGTAGCCACATTGATTAGGGAGAAAATTTAAAAAATTAGCATTTAATTCCTGACGTTCATAATCTATCTGGTATAAATGAATAATACTATAAATGTTCAAATAATATTTTCTCAGATTGTTATTCTATAATTATATGGCACAAATATGTTACTGCTCCCTGGAACATTGGTATGACTTGATACGTCAATGATGACTGTAGTTTCAAAATGACCCTGAAGCAGGACATATCTAAAACCAAAAACAAATTTTGATTGGAAAGCTTCACCCGCCTGTCCCTCAAACATTGAAACAAAAATTGCCAGTACACCATATCAGATAGTTTGAGAAGCACAGCTCTACAGTACTGATGATGAAGGAAGACCTACTTATGAGTAAAGACACACAGCATTGGTAAAAGTGCCAACATATACTCATAGTCGAAGATATAAAAAGAAACAGAGAAGAAGAATTTGTTAATGTAACGTTATCTCATTATATCTTTCAAAAGGAAATATGAGACTAAACCTTATTTACATAGCATTACAGTTTATTTTTACTCTGGACTTCATCAATCACCATTGGCCAATCAGTGTGTGACTTTTGGGACCTTCTACAAATGAGGATTCCACATTCTCATGTGAATGTATAAGAATCCTCTAGGGTAAGTGTTTATATACTGACATGTCATACAGGTTTTTCCTATCTGTGTACACTCTTGGCGGGTTGATAATGTGGATCTGTTGGTGCCAGCCACTGATATCCTGCGAGGTGCAGATCTGCACAGTGCTTTGGAGGTCATCACCCAGGTCAATACATTCATATACCTGGCTTCTCCAACTTCAGTATGAACGCAAAGGATATTTTGTCAAGATCAGATGTAAACCACTTACTACCTACACCAGAGGTAATGGTTTAAAAAGTAAGAGGCACAATTTAGGCAGATATATAGGGAAGACTTGAACAGATTAAGATTTTAATGATTGGAAAAACACCTTGTTGGGAGATGGTTCTGCAGAGCAGCAGTTTGTGGAAATAAGCTGCTCAAATGGAACTTACACCTCACAAATGGAATATGGAGGGAATGAGTGTGGTTCTCTACATAGCATGGTGGGTTTTAGTCATGAAGGTTGGAACTAAGGAATGTAGTTTGTCTGAGAACTTTCCATGGAAATAGTGAGAGAGCAGTGAGAAGCTTGTGAAATTTAGTCTGTGAGAAAGGGGTTATAGGGTGGAAAATAATTCATCACCCACAAGGATGCAGCGACACTTTTGAACTCTGTTGAGACTAGAAAGTGAAGACTGTGCAGCTCTTGCCTATATATGGCAGCAGTTTGGCCTGATCTGGTTCTTGTAAAGGGAGAGAATAGCATGTAAAGTCTAGTACTTAGTAGAGCAGTACAGGGAAGCAACTATTTTTCCAGTATCTTTAGTGATGGATCGTATGTACAAACTCCACAAGGTCTGGGTTGAGTTTAAGGTTCAAGAGGCCCTCAAGACAAAGGGCCTCTGTGAGGGAACATCCATTCATCAGGATTGGTGATAGTTCTATGTTACTATACATTCTATCTATGTTAATAAAAATACTACCAATGGTAATACACCTGATATATATATTGTAGACGTGTATTTACACTTGGTAAAACAGAAAACATTTGACACAGATAGGTATATTGCAAGCGGACACATACATAGGTGAATCATTTCAAGCAAATGGCAGACAAGTGATGAAAAACAAAATAAAATGAAATGCAAAACAAACAGCAAAAAAAAGAAAGTCTCCTGCAAGAGATAACAGACAAAATCATTCATATTAATTTGGCATTGCAGTATTTTGTCTGACAAATCACCTAGATTCGGCCCGCATCGCTTCTCTTTAATCTAATGTTGATAAGTCAACATAAAAGCAAATTCGATCCGTTAACGCACTCTCCCTCTTCCCTTTGCCCTCCAGACTCCCCCCCTACTATGAGTCGACTGTCTGGCAAATATGTGAACAATTTTCAATAATGTCTGCCATTTAGTCTTCTCCCCGACCCCAATAAAAGGTTATCTGACGCCATCAAGCCCAATTCTGAAAAGAAAGGAGGAACTCGTATTCAGTGTTGATTATTTATCTTAATTATTTTATGTATCATTAGCTTTACTCTTTGACTGTTGTCGTATTGCAAAAATACCTTTCAGGAAATTTCACCTGCATTAAAAGCCAGTCTGAGACAAATGAAATAACAACAAATAAAAAGTAAGAACCGAACATTTTCAGTGAACAATTTTTTGAATAACCCAAATAAATTTTAGAATATCTCTGGAACCTTGACAAAGGCGAGTAAAACAATGTCATTTCACTGGGGGAGGGGGGGAGAGAGGATGGCATTTTCATTTTCAATATATTTTTGAAGAATGCAACAAGCCAGTTTATCAAAAGTTCTTGCATTTGGTGATCTAATAAAACTAGTTTCTTTATTTTTCTTGATTCTGATTTGATTTCCAATATTCAAACATGTCCATCAGTAAGCTTTCAAAAAAGACATGACATGTGAGCAGAATTTCACTCATATATAAAATATGAGGGCTGGTAAAAAAAAAAAAAAAAAAAAAAAAAAAGGTCTTTTCTTCTTTAATTATAACAGATTTCAGAAGCATACAAAGAAGCACCAAAAGGAACACAAAAGTTTCAGAATTCCAAATTTAGTCCTCAAAATAGTCTCCTTCCTTCTCAATCATGGTACAGGGATCAGTCAAAAAGAGATATCTGTCACAACAGATTTAATATTTAAAAATACCCTATCAGCTGGGGCTTCAAAATATGCCGACTTCACCTCTGCAGAGGGGTACCCCCTCTCAATGAGGCATCCTGGGTATGACAAACTACATCCACATCATGGGTATGATGATAAACTACATCTGGCAGCAAAGCCACTGATCAGAATGTTTTGAGAAATGTGGAACCACCTCTTAATTGCTGGTGTTCCCAGCTTCACCCTGATCCAGAGTGGTTGTTAGGGTCCTAGCAATGGGCAAATAGTTAACCACCAAACTCGGGTCAGAACACTATGAAAGTGTAAAAATATGTTTTAAAGCCAGCAATACATTTTTTGAAAAAAATTATTATCAGCAATATATCTTTGAAAAAAAAAAAATATTACCAGCAACACATTTTTGAAAAAAAAAAAAATATTACCAGAAATAAAAATCTTGTCGGCATTAAATAACCCATTGAGGTTGATATGCCATAAAACAAACCAAACCAAACCAAACTAATATTTAAAAAAATATTTTTAACAAAATGTTTGCCCAGTTGAAAAGAACCACTCAAGGTAGAGGGTTATTGAATGAGGTTGTGGTATGAACATAAGAGGAGGAACTAAGTGCCCATTATGAGGACATGTAGGATAGACAACAGTTGACACTAAACTTGAAGACGTTTAGATTGTAAGGCTCAAAGAAGCATCCTCTTCAAAGTCTATTCCACAAAGCAGCAGTTCTTGGGAAGAAGCTGTCAAAACTTCTTCCTTACTTATGGAATATGGAAGGGATATGGATAATTCAACTCGGTGTACAGGTCCTAGCTGTAAAGGTCTAAACTGGTGGAACTAACAAATGTAGCTTCTCTGAACATTTGTCACAGGTATAGTGATGGAGTAGCAATAGGTTTGGAAAAAAAGGCATTTTCTTTATCTCTGGGATTCCCCTTAACTCCACTGACCCATCTCTATACTGTACATACATCAAGTGCAGATTTCATAAACATTAACTTACCTCCTGTGAATGTTTGCAACACTTTCTCTTTCCAAAAACAGAAATTCTACGACAGCACTTTGCTTTCTTGATGTATGCACAGAGGGTGTCCATTTTGAAAGACAGTTATGGTTAGGAAGATAATTTCACAAATCCCCCACCCCCAGTCTTCTTGACACTTTATCGCAGATAACTAAAAAGAAATACTTAAGAATTCTAAGACTTTTAAAATTAAATTAGAACAGGCATTACATTCTGACTGACTGTCGCAGTTTGACTTTTGACACGCACACCAATCAACTTAACACTTTTAATCATATAAAACTAGCCTTAGGAGGTGACTTCATAGCCTTTGCATAACATTTTTATATTTCTTTTTCATTGTGTTCACATAGTTTTTAATGCATTACTATATTACACTAGATGGATTCAAATTCTTTCACCATTTTTCTTCTACTCATTTCATCACATGGATTAGATGGAAAGTACAAATCAGTAAGTCAGTAGCCTAATGACAAAAAAAGC